CTTATCATTTTAATTATATGAACTAAGACAGCGTACTTAACTCTTCCATACTGTTCAAATATGTTGAATTATTGATATTGTTATGATTTTGTAAAAATTTCTCAAAACAAACAGTCGGTTTCTTATATTTGTAGTGAATCCACTTTTATGAAGAAACATTTATTATTATAACCAGTTGTACCAGTGATTGTTTTACTGTACCTTTTTGTTTAATTGAACCAAAAACACACATTTTCCGCTGTCTATGACCTTGACTTTACTCAAGTACGCACGGTAGTCTCGTCTGTATACCTGGGCACGATCTCGGTATTATTTCGATATCACGAGATCGACAACAAATATACATTCATTTCCCGATACAATCTTCTTCCTTGTTTCGATCCTACGGAGGGATTTAACCTGGTAATTGACTTGTAATTTGTCTGTAGTGGTCATCATAGTCAATTTCCCTTCAACACACCCTCAACAGACTCTAACATTAAATAAAGGTGAGTAATTTAGAGTAGAGAATATTCGTGCATAATGGAAATCCATAAACAATTAAGTTTGGCTCCATCTCATAGTTTTAGTGTCCTAAAATAATCCAAACGTAAACGTACACATTAACAATGAACCGTTTTTGCTTTTGTACAATAAGTTTGATCAGAACGACCCGCACAGAACCTTCCTTTATTTTGATCGATTTCCTAATCAAATGATCTAAAATTGCTTGAGTCAAGAATGTCCTTGAACTTTTAAGAGATATACGATTCATTGATTAAATTATGAAGGTTATTTAACAATACTGAACTGAATGGTAAATTAAACCAAGTACAATCAAGTTCAGGACGAATCAGGTGAAATAGAAAATAAGAGTACTATTCATTTCAACGAAGCATATATATATATATATATATATATATATATATATATATATATATATATATATATACATATATATATATCTTCCGTTTCTAAGTGAGGTAGTCAAATGATACCTGAAAAAGAGGATACTTTATTGGTTTCAATTGTATTCTCACAAAGATTTCAGGATTCACCATATATTGACAAGAGACAATCAGTAGGCCTTTGAAATAATCATAAAATGAATGATCGCATGTAAACGTTGATTGACTCGAGCTTCTCAGTCAATCGGTCACAATCCACATAGGAACTGGCATAAATGTGCATTAGTCACAGTCCCCTTCTTACATAATCACAAGATGAGCGGAGAAGTCATCAACATAATGTTGTATAAATTATGTGAAAGAGGTTGAGCATGGCAAATATGGTCCCGAGGGAGGAAATGGCATGTAGAATGGAATAATGTCACACGTTACCTATTGTATCAAAACGAGCAAATGTAGTCTCGTCTTTGTAACCTATTCTGAGGAATGTAACTTAACATTCTCAACTGCTAAGCCAGCCAAGTAATTTGTTTCTATTCATATGGATCATTTCGACATTTAGTAATTTTATGAACTGATACTAAGATTGGGTTTGATTCCAAAACTTTCTATCCTATTCGTTTACTAGTTAATATTGCCTATCGACATCAGCGGTGGTTAGGCAGAGGTAATATGCGTCCTAATCAACCCAGTCAATGGCGATTCACAACCTCATCAAATGATTTGCCACCTTTGCCTAGTACTCTATGTCTAACATGAAAATTGGTGGTTTGAGAATACCAATCATCAAAATCCTGAAGCCTACGCGTATCTTATATCTTGCAAGGTTTTGTTGCTCAAGGATATCGGATGTATGTGGCCTGGCTCGAAACGAAGTATTCGTCAGCTTCTTACTAATGTTCGTAGATAACGAAATTTCACTCAAACAAAATTCATTCATACTTCCTTTTTAGGTTCAACTTTGAAAACAAACCTCTAAGATTGTTTTCAAAATATTTTTCCGATTATTTTAGATTATACAGTCTTTTGGCGTTATTGATTCTTCATATTCTTGGAAACCTTACTGTGTTTAAGTAGCTTTATATATTTTAGTAATTTTCAAGTTCCTCTTGTAAACTAAAATATTTGAAGTCACAAGTGGACAAGCAAATTATGTTCACCGAAGTTCTTAGTCTTCCGGTGCCTTTTTAGGTAAATTATTGTTGTAATTGAATATTAAGTTAGAACGTTTTCAACACCACATCCTACAAATTATTTCAACTGTAATTAATTTCAAACTAATACTCATCGTATTAGCCATTCTAGTATCACACTCTGAAAAACGCTATTAGATAACTTCGAACAGTACATAAATTTCAGAATACAATACGAAGCAGTCACTGTAGTTTATCACTGCACAAAGACCACAAAACGAAACGAATGCAAATGGACAAATAGGATTTGAGATACATACATATGTAACCTTTGGTGGTCCGCCGCCTGACTCCAATTTGGACAGATGATCAAGTATGCGATGAAATAAATCTCCCCTTCAATTTCCGTATATCATACGTTTCTGAGACGGCTGTACTGAGAAACTAAACACAATTCAGTTGGATGGGTATGTGTCATGCATGAGGATAGACATGAGGATAAAAAGTGTAAGGTCAAAGCTAAGCGAATCGGAGAAGGCGAGTGGACCTACTCAATACGATAAGGAATGACTGAGTACTTACAGTGAATCAAAATTAGGCTGGAAATGTAATAAGGGAAATAAGCATGCACTCGTACTCAAAAAGACAATCAAAATTATGAGCGAATAGTAGACAAGGTTGAAAGACGAGTGAGTGATGGCTTAACAGAAAAATCTAATTCGTTCGTCCGAGCACTGGGACAAGCCAGTGGGCTTACTACAAATGAATGAGTCATCCAGAGGTTCAAATAACTAACATTTACGCTAGTAAGAGGACTATACGCATAGGCTGTAACAAAGATCAAGACTACATGATCGTAGAAGCACAGGTATGATGTAAATGCGTGAGCCAAGCTGTTACCAATACAAGCTAATAAAACCTTACTAGATTTGAACATATAGAAAATCAAGTATATGTGAGGGTCTTCTTTATAATGTCATTGTAAATCTAATTACTAATGGTATATAATTAACCATACCTATATATATCAAAGTATAAAGTTGTTTAGCATAATACAATTATTGAAGTGTTGTAAATGTGGCTAGATATTCTGAACTGTCTCAAATTGTGACCTAAATAGGTTATAAATTCAAATATAACGTATTAATAGCATATTACCTTTCTAAGTATTATCTTATTTAAAACTTTCTCGTTCAGTCGTCCGATTGTTCGTGTGATTTGAATTCAGATACATAAAATCATATCATCTAATTCACTAATACAGAAACGCCTTATTGACAAGCAAGCATTACTACGAAGTTTAAATGGAAGGTTTCCGGTCCATAGCCTCTAAATATATGCTATATTATTCTCTCTGTGAGGTAACAAGTTCAACTATGTGGAAAATTTCTATGTATATGAACAAATTACATTTTTATCAAAATTAGATTCAATGTAACCCCTAATGGTTGAAACAGTATATTTTCAATAAATACGACACAAGTTCACGTTTCGCTTTCCTTCCTATAGTTTGGGCAACTTAATTTGTATGAACAATCTACACAGAACTGAATTATGCCGAATACTATCATTTTAGGAGAATCTTTAAAACATAATCTTTTCTGGTGAATTACAGCTGTTAGACAAAATGTCTACATTGTAATTCTTACATACAATGATATAGTGATATAGTGAATAATTTGTTTTAAAAAGGATATTTAGATCCATTTATTTTGTCATAAAAATTACTCTTATGAATTTCACTTACGACTGAAAATGTTATGTCTATATCCGTAGACATTATTTTATTGTGCTTTAATATATTTGATTATTTCTTGAGAAACTGTTTTTGCCACGGAATGAAAGGATATGATTACAATTAGGAATTCTATCCATCAAGTCATTAAACATGACATCATTTTTGTCTCATATTATTTAAATTACAGTCGAGGATTTAAATTTCACTATGGTTTGAACAAATCACAAACTAATATAATGTAAACAACTAACAAGTACACTGTGAAATTAGATTTATGTTGAATACTTGATAATTGCATAAGGTCATATATAAATAAGACCTCTTGAAATTATCAAGCATTTACTAATAAATTAATGTATAAAAGAGTTGATCATATACTTTCCATTTACAACCTGATGAAAATGTTTTCAACTGAATTGAATAATTTTAGGAAGCTTAAGTAAATAATTGTTGTCAGATTTTCTTTAAGCACAATTTGTAATAGCAAATTCCGATTAAAATAACACCATGAGTAATGTTTGATGATGGATTAATGAATAATTTACAGGGATAAATTAACACCTAGACTGTTGTAGTAGATACTTTGTATAATCCAAAGGCATTTTCCATCATGATTTGATACCAGTTGATGAACAATATTAATTTCCTTCTTCATTGTGTCATTTCAGATGTGGTGACTCGGATCGATGACACTACATACATAATTTACACCTCACTGGTTGAGAGGCGAGCATCTATTCGCCTTATTTTTCAATTATGATAATATTGAATTTTATACCATCAATTAACCTATGTTTTGACGAACCCGATGACATCTAAATCTATGAAGATGTACATTGTTTTTCAGAAGCATCGAAAGTGCGCTATGAATGAGTTCATGATGTCAGTTGTGTACAGAAACTAGCTTGATAAACCTTCCTTTCATATAATGACTATAACTGTAACTAAGTAGTAGCGTTTTACATCATAAACAGTACTATTATTACTGGTATAAAAATTTGATTTCGGTTCTACATTAAGTGATTATACGATCACTTTCACTACAGCTACATAATCTTTTCTTAAAAATTGATCGAGAAATAGACAAGTTTACATGTGTGTATATAGCAATGGTCCTAAGACTCGTTATATTTACATTGCATTTATTATATATCTTTTATGGTATGATGTAGAGGTTATACGTGAAACGGACTGTTGATACAACAGAAAGTACTAAACAATTTCTTACGATGTAAGAACAAACGATCACTGCCAATTTCTTATACGAAAATAGAATGTATCTCAGTTAGCTCTACACGATCAACTGATAGTTGCATGGCTCTAGGACAAAAAACTCAACACAGAATGTAAGTAAATCGTAATATGGGAAATATCTAAATAAAAAAATTTGCAGCGGTCGACAACGCCCTACAAATACAAACAAAAACTCAAAACAGAAAGCTACATAGTTCGAAATCTGGTTAGTATGAAGTAATTATTCATAAGTTATCTCTATATTTTAAATAGGGAACAAGACTGGATTTAACGTATACACATATACAATATGATTTTTAAAATAAGTAGGAAACACAAAATATAATTGTAAATATGGATATTTACTGTAAGAAAAGTTAATGAATAAATAAATTAATAAATATAAAAATAAACTAGTTCCACTAGTACAAATGGCGCACAAAAAAAGAAAAACCACATGAAAAGAGAACAAGAAAGAAAGAAAAACAACAAGAAAACGGGGAAAGATGAATAGGTGACAAAAACTATTGATCCTATTGTAAGAATTTATGAGTAGTATATTGAGCCTTGGAAATTACAAATTACATATAAACTTTATCGGCAATATATAAACAAAATATTTGTACAGTGGAAAATGGAATTGATTTTTATTTAGATCATTTAGTGTATTGTATCACGACATTTTGAGAACGTTAAACAGAACTGAGATTCCGAATTTTCCTTACTATACACACAAAAAGGTATAAATATAGTTAGATAGAAGATAGATTCAACTGCATCAAAACCAAAATTTCTGGTTAATAATTCTGTAATGTATACATGGTACGCAAACTATATGTAACTTACGTGGAAATGAAAAATACAAAGAACTTGGTAAAAAAAAAGTTTTCAATTATCATCAATTACGAGAAGTGTTTCGTACACGATTTGAATTTTTGGAAGTGTTATCTTGAATTGACGATTTCACAGATGTATTCTTAAAATTGTGACGCGTAGATGATGGTCGGCCAATATGGAATACATAAATATTAAGAAAGTTAGCCAATTGTATACATACATCAGCATCGTATAATATGATATTCACAGCTCCGAGCATCTAGAAATTTATAAATAATTAGTAAATGGTTACTCATTTTTTTGGTTATAGTCTTATTTTTATGAAACAAGCAAATTAAAAATGAGTTCAATCACTCGTAAGAATCTTTAAGCTTACCTGTTTGTGCCATAAATAAATATGGAAAATCAATTGAGGTGGTGAATCTTTATGGACTGAAATAAATGTATTATGTATGCTCAATTAACTGTGCACCTCAACAGAATATGGCTGGTGTAGCAGTAGGCTGGAAAAATGCTACGGGCGAACAGACCAAAACGTATCATCAGTCCAACAACACAGTGACTGCTCAGCTGAACAATGTCAGTGAGTGCATACTATTTGGTTGATATCCGCGTAATTAATCATTAAAAGCTTTGAATGACGTGGCTTACAATCGTCCACACTGTCTTAGATCTACTCACTTTTTCTCTTCTCTTAGATTTCAAGTTTATAATTTTCTCAGAAATTTATATTTATAACTGAAATCGTTTCTTGGATGATGAATCTTTCCTATTGTTAATCATATTGTTATTGCTTCTACCACTCTGTGATTGGCTATAGTTTCATTTTGCTATACTAATGAGGGTATGGAAACTAGAGGTACAAATATGCCGCGTTCTACGTTGCGTTTAACTGAATGACTGATAGATATTTTTGAGTGATTTTCATAGATTATGAGGAACACGTCTATGGACAAGATGTTCTCTGACTGGCATAGACAACACAGTCTTGGTAAGCAGAAACAGACTGCCGCCTTTAAAAAAACTTGAGAAACTGTATGAAGGTGACGATGTAATTATTACCCTTTAAATAAAAAGCTTTCAGATTTGACTGTGGTTATTTTTTCACGATAAATTATCTATTTATTGAGTAAAGTTGTAGAGTTAGAGTGGCAACGTGTCAGTCAGTCAGTCAGATGCAACGTAGAACTTCGTACGTAAGTACATCAGTTCATGTTGCCATACCATATTAGCACAGAGATGTAATTGTCAATTCAAATCCAATAGAAGTAGAGGTAGTAAATGTATCAGAAGTAATCGGAGAGGTTAGGATTAGAAGATATTATTCAAGAAGTATGATTCAGTGAGATAAGTGGCAACGTGTACTCCTGGTTAAAAGATACATACTGCGAAGAGTCAATGGGTTGATAGAACAGTTTAAAATGTTGATCACTTTTGATAAGGAAGAAGATTATCATATGTGGTGAGCCTAAGACTGTAGAAACCACTATCCGAATAGAAACAAGTCTTTGGGCACTAGGGAATTTAGATTATCATACTTAACAAATTCAGCACACGCCAGTAAACTCAAATCAACATTTTGTGTAGACACAACCAGGTACACTTACTCAACATTATGGACTCGATCTATCTGCCTCCTTTATTTTTCATTCACTCATTAATCTTTATTTTGTAACTTGTCTCACACTGTAAATCAATTTTAACTAGGTGTCGCTACCATACCTTAACTAAACGGATTTTCAGCTTCACGTTGAATTCCATATTTATCACAAGTTAGTAAATATAGAAATTCTATTTGCAATATATTGAGATACAATAACCATCAAGGCACGTGCTTTTTCACATACCAACTCCAGTTTTATTAGCTTATAGTATTAACAAGTAAACGATATACATTATATAAAAATAGACACTTTATCAGTCAAACTTTCTACACAAAAGCCTAGAGCGATAATAGGAATGTTAACTCACCAAAGATATCCATAGAACTAAAACTTCAGGTACCGGACACGAAAAATACTGATTAACGACTAATAAGGCTGATCCAAACATAACGGCGTCAAACAAATAGATAGAACTTTTAGTCATATGAGCAACCTATGAAAGTAAATTGGGTCAGAGAAAAATTGTGCGAAATTCAGTAGAAACAATAAAAAATAAAATCAAAAAAAGGTGAGGCGATAAAATTTGATTTAGGAAAATTAAAATTTAATAAAACCAATCACTGAGTATTCGCAGTCAGTCAGTGAGTCACAACGCAGAGCTTCGTACGTACGTACATCAGTTAAGGTTGCCACACCACACTAGATTAGCACAGAAACGCAACTGTCAGTTCTAATCTCAATGGTAGAGGTAGTAGAGTAGTAATCGGAACGATAAGAATTCGAGGATATAATTCAAGAAGTAGAATATAGTGAAATAAACTTAAAAAGAGAAAGATAAAAGTCTTGAGGAATTCTGAAGGTTGGGATTTGCGAGAACACAAGTGGGCAATTGTATCCACATTAGAAATTCCACTATCCGATTGTGACATGACTCCCTTTCAATATATGATATTCATGAACATTTCATGACATATCACTTCAAGTCGTGTTTTTTCGCATCTCATATCATTTTATTTTACTCAAGATTACAGGTTTAGCAGACAAAATTAACCACAAATACAATAGTACAGCCTAAGTGAATGAAATTGTCGAAAAAAATTTTCTTGGCTGAATTATCTTTATTTTTCGAGTATTTAGATTGCCAAATCTATTCAGTTTAACGATAAGTGCATGCTCTAATTTTAGTGACTGTATTTTTTCAGACTGATTGTAACTAGAAAGAGGAAAATCTTAAAATATAGAGTAATTATTATATTCCCTAAAATCTAATTTTCCCGCTTTGACGAACACAGTCCAATGAAGTGTAGAGCGGCACAGAAGTCATAGAACCTGACATATTTAACAGTTACGAAAGAAAATTTCCTCTTACTGTTAGGTTAATAGTTTTTATTCTCTAGGTAAGACTCACCACTAAACGTTGAGAAACTTTAGCTGAAACAATCCCAAACGTTAACAGGAAAGTAAAAGGTGAATGGTGATAAAGATTCATCGGAGAATTGATAGCAATCAAAACAGGTAAACCAATTGCAAGTGTAAGAGGACAGACTGGAAACAGAACACTAGTATTCTAAAACAGAAGTAAAAAATGTGATTATTATTTATTATTCTCTTAGTTATTATACTTAATCAATCAATAGAAAGTAAAAACAAATCCACTTAATAAAAGCTTACATATTGTTTACTGTCAAGAACTTGTTTATCCAAAGAGTTACCTATATGCACTAAACAATCTTATTTGTCTTGAATGATAAAACGTATGGGGGAATGGAAAGCTTATTAAAATGAAATCAATAAACCAAATGTCTATCCGTAAAATATCAAACCAACAAGGAGCATAAAGTAACACTGCTAGCCATATAGTCACCAAATGTCCTAGTACGGCCGAGATTAGAAAGAGTTCATTTCCTTCTGGAAGTGCTTTCATATGGCTATGCGTATATAGCTACTACCGTGGAAGTCCTACTAACTGGACTCTCGTGGTGTGTATTGTTTACGAGAATGAGAAGACGAGAAGCGAGTGTCCGGCGCTTTGATCAGGTTTGCGGAAGGGAGGGGAGTTGGGGGACCCCGATTCAAAACCAATGGTGCCCATGGGCCCTAGTATCCTGATGGAACGTACGGTGTACGAACCTACTGCTGGTCACTGGCTACCGTAGGACTGTAAATCCTGACGTTGCTCCACTGCCTTGTGAACTAAGCCTCTTGGTCGAAGGCTCGAGAAGTGGCCCTCAATAAGACCACCTGCTCCAGTTTGGGCATCAAGTCAGTTTCAGTTGCGTCTGACTGACTGACAGTTTCATAGCCCATACAAATTAAATGATGACCATATATGGGAAAAAAGCTTGCTTCAAACCTAACACCCACATATTATACTTGAATTATCTTTATTTTATGTTGCGTCACTTATTTACTCCTTTATTTCTATTTCGGGTATTCTTTACTCTTTAATTTATACAGCAGCTAGCCTATGGTGGAAATCTTGGCCTATCTAAACGATCTCAAGTCACTGACTGGTTGAAAGTTGAGTGGTACCACCGAATACGAATTTTGAGTTAGCCTTTCTGAAACCACGTATACAATTCGAACCGGCCTCTTTTAATGTTCACATACTAATGAAGGTCGGACAGCAGATAAAGTTGGCTGTCTTTAGAAAGTCAACATAGATGTCTGTTGTTTATCCGAGACCCACATCCAAGACTTTAGTGATATACTACACATTTTCCACTCACCTGACACTTCAAAAAACTTATTTCACGTGCGTTTATCCGGGAACCCTGTAACATCTTGTTCTGGTCTTGCTGACGTTGGTGTCGCACTAAGCGGTAGAGTAGAGGTAGCACTAATCGATTGGATACTCATTAAGAGTCTATTGATTGTGTGCTGTTCGATTAAAAATCTCTATCAGGATGAGAAATCGGTGCGAGAAACGATGCTTTTTCGTCATCTCCACCTACGCCTCAATAAGTTGCAGCCAGAATATGATTAAGGATGAGTTTTACCACCAATTACGTGATCTTCTCCAGGGGGTGCTTTCGACAGACTTTAGTAGTAGCCGAAGACTTGAATGCACAGGTCGGGGGCGTGAGGACCGGGAAAGCTGGTGGTCAGAGAGTGCTAACGAGTTGGGAGCAGCAGCTGTATCTGGTTAGTGCTGGAAGCCTTTGAACTCATCTGAGCCACGGTCAGTAAGAAGTCTGGTGTGAGTGAAACAATCTGTGAAGCTAATGGGACGGCAATCACTAACATATGCCGTCTTGGAAGATGGACAGTTTTTCGAGGATCAGTTCAACTAGACTGCTGCCCCAGCAACATCGACTAAACTGTCCTGTCCCCCATGGCTAGTGACGACTGACCCATCATCTAACGCCAACTCTTGAGGTGCTACAAATTACCATGCCTAAACAACTTACCTCCTGCCATTTTTAAATTATGGTGGCGATCTTCCGATTATGAAACTGAGCGAGTTGTTTACCACCGTCTGAGGATCAGTGTTCCAACATCTTGGAACGAGTCGATTGTTGTTCTTATCTTTAAGACGTTTGCATCATCTGTGTGACAATTATCAGAGGATACGTTTACCACCAATTGTGTTCAAATTATTGGCTTTAACCATGCTTCGCGGATCGTTCAAAATCCAAGAAAGATTGACTTGCGAGGAGCAGGCTGGTTTTCATTTATGTCGAGGATGTATTGATCATAATTTCGTCCTCCATCAAATGCTAGAACACCGCCCCATTTACCGGAGGTCAACAACTGCTGTTTCCTGGCATCAAGACAGCCCTCGATTTGTTGGACAAGATTATTCTCTGGATTTTACATTGAAAAAGCGTGTCTGAGAAGCTTATTAACATTCTGAAGGCCCACTATACAAACACCTCACACAGAGTGGAGGCATACCTCTCTCCGCTGTTTAATTCAGGCAGTGGGATTAGGTAGGGTTGCCTAATCTCATCATTCCTCTTCAATTTTGCCACCGATGACGTTCTAGGTGGATGTAGATGATGGCGGTGTGAACTGTTATCCAGAAAAACTTTTCGACCTAGAGTATATAGATGATAATGTTTTACTGTGAGATCCTTAAGCCGTGCAATCTGAATTTAATCAGTTGGTAAAGTGTCCAGATGTATGGCATATGATTCGCACCTTCTAAGAGCAAAGTACTTTTACAAAACTGGTAAGACCCTGAACTTAAACTGAATCTTGGTAGTGAACAGAGATAAGTGGTGGGAAAGTTCATGTACCTACGTAGCTGGGTAAGTGCTAGTGGTGTGATGACAGTGATTTCTATACATTTTTTTCTTCTTTCTCTAATCCAAACCCTTTAACGTACTTCCATCAAAACTAATTAAAAGGAGTTCCAATAACCATAGTATGAAAATAATCAATTCACAATCCACAGTAAAGGTACGAGATCAGTTAATGTCTCTTTTCAGTGATTTGATGATTAATAAGGAAATTTGTTTAACTGCAAATCAAATACTAAAGTTCAAAAGTAGAAAGATAACTTTGATTGAACTAGCGAATTGTCACTTAATTTGCTCGCTAGTATCCACATAGTTATTCTGTTTATTTATTCAAATATCTACTCATCTATGTTTTGAATAGACTGAAATGCTGGTTTGGCGATTAGTAATGCAAATCAGTAACCAAAGTTCCGATACACAGCTTTGGGCTTTACTTATTTTACGGTAGTTTGGTAAAACAGCATCGCAGGGAAGAAATCAAACAATCGGAATTTGTTTTTCCTGAACTTTCAATAACATATGGGTAACAAGAATATACTCTTTTAACAATATTTTATCTTTTGTTTATTCTTATGTGAAATTTCCCTACCTAAATCTATATATTCAGATTTTGGTAGTTATACAGCAGTATTTTAGAACGCAAAATTTCAAACCTTGAAATCAACTCACAGCAACGGTTGTCCCATATTTACCACAGCCACCTTGCGAAATAGTGTCAACGAATTGAACCGCCAAGAAAAACATGACAACTGAGAACACGAGAAATTGAACAACTTTGAGTTCCAAACCGAGAAGTGGGTCCTGCACAAGGATTTTAGCAAAGAAACACCCTTACAATAAGTGACAAAATGCTTTTGAAAAACAGCAAAATATGGAAATTATGACAGTCAGTCAGGTAAAACGTAGAATTTTATACGTACGTACGTACATCAGTTCACGTTGCCACACATTAGCACAGAGACGGAATCATCAGTCCAAACCTCATAGTGGTAGATGTAGTATAGCAGTAATCGGAGAGATAAGAGTTCGAGGATATTATTCAAGAAGTAGAATATAGTGAAATAAACTTAAAAAAAGATCAAGACTATGAGGAATTCTGAAGGTTAAGATTTGCGAGAACACACAGAATTCACATGCGCCATTCCAAATGATTATGAGTCACGACATTCAAGCTCTCTAACCATCGATAACTATTGTTTCGCGGACTCCAACCAGGTAGTCTACATCTACCAACATGACTCAGTTCACTTGTCAGTGACTTCATGGATTTCTGACATGTTTTGTTTCGGTAGTCCTAGCTTTCTTCTGACCTACTCCTAAACCAGAAAACATAGCCCGTCGAGGCAGTCGATCGTTAGGCATACGTAACATATGTCCCAACCACCTCAACTGATGAAGTTTCAACGCTTCATCTATTGATTTGCCATCCCTACCTAGTACTCGTTTCCTAACGACAATATTGCTTGCTCGGTTGTCCCAGGATATATAAGCAATGCTTCGGAGACACCTGTGATCGAAGACAAGCAATCTAGGAATGTCCTCTATTCTCAACGGCCATGTTTCGTATCCGTATAGTAGGACGGAGTGAACTGCTATGCAGTATACACATCCATTCGTCAGCAAACGGATATCTCGCCTACGCCATAAGTGACCCCGACCGAAGCTGTTACCTTGACGTGGTGGTCGGGCTTGCCTATCGTGATGACCCAACCGAGTTAAATTGGCTGCAACATATGTTCCTCAAGGTGTGGTGCGCGCTACTAATAAGTAGTATATTACGCGTGTGTAAACGTAATGTCTGACAGCTGAAGATGGGGGAAGATCAAGAAAGGAAGAGTGGGAAAACAATGGAATTTGTATGAAACGCATGAATAGTGAATTGTTAAACAATGGATTGAAGATTTGCAAATTAACGGTCACGGTATGGTTTTCCTATTTTACTGAGTAACTCTGTAATTTTGGTTAAATACAATTCGGTTGCCCTCACCTGTGTTCTCCTTCACTACATTTGGTGTCGCTGCCTGCTCGAAGGAAGGAGCTCCCGTGGCCGAAGAAGTTTGAGGCCGTGGTGGGGCTGGTGGGTGTGAAGGTGCCCGCGGCGGAGTTGGTGGTGCTGGGGACGCTGCGGGGAGGTGAGGCAAAGGCTGTACACGACAGCTTGGACGGTGCCACCGGGAAGACGGCGTGGGAGACGGTCACGGAGCGAATAGTGACGGAGTTCGTCGGCCCAGTAGGTAGGGAGAGGGCGCCGCAGAGGTTCCGGTTGGCGAGGCTGTCGGCTGATGGTGACCCGTTGATGCTTGCTGTGAAGCTCACCAGATTGTTGCGCCGTGCTCTGCCGAATATCGATGAGGAGTCAGAGGCACAGTTGTTGACGTCGCAGTTTATCGGAAGTGTGCCTGCCGCCTTGTCCCAGCAGCTGAGACTAGTAAACGCAGCGCGACCTATGGATATCGGTGAACTGGCGAAGGTGACTCGTCAGCTGATGACACGAACAGTAACTCCGGTCGGGTGCGGAAATCAGGAGATAAATACTGTTGAGAAGATTGAGGAGTTGGACCGTAAGGTTGCAGCATTACGAGTGGATCATAAAAGGAACGATAAACGTTACGCTTGTGGAGAGGCAGGATATTGGAAGATAAACTGTCCAAGAAGACGACGACGATTTATGCCAGTGTACATAAATGAACAGGAGTTAGTGTGTTTGATCGATACAGGGGCAGCTATATCGTTAGTAGGCAAAGAGCAATGTAAGACAATCAAACCATGCCCATTAGCTGTCCACACCATAGGAGGGCATATACTAGAGGTGTTGGGAGTATCTAACAGTATTGTAAAAATGAGTGAAGCTGAGATAAATTTTCCGTTCGTGGTAACCACAAGCTTATCGAGACCGATACTAGGAGCAGATTTCCTAAGAGAGGTAAAAGAGATAATTGACTTGAGGAACGGCAAAATGGTCACAAAGTATGGTTCATTGCCAATACACGAAAGTAGCGAAGTGGCTGAAATAAGGGTGACAACGGACGTCTCGACCAAGAAACCAAACATTAACGAGTTATGTGCAAGGTATGCGAAACTGTTCACTGGAGATGGGGAGCCGTATGGATTTTGTGACAAAGTAAAGCATGAAATTCCTATAAAGAACGACCGAGTTAATATATTTGCAACACGTCGTGTCCCGGTGCATTTAGAGGCCGAGGTAAATCGACAGGTCCAGGAAATGTTGAAGGAAGGTATAATTGGGTAAGCAGACAGCCCGTATAGCTCACCGGTACTCTTGGTAAAGAAACCCAATGGAAAGTATAGATTTTGTGTCGACTTTAGAGAACTGAATAATATAACAGACCTGAAACCGTGCGCAATGCCAACAGTAGTAGAAACATTAGATCGGCTACAGAATGCCATGGTGTTTACAGTGCTGGATTTACGGTCAGGTTATTGGCAACTACCTATAAAAGATAGTGATCGCAACAATACAGCATTTACTATACGGGATAAACAGTATCAATTTAAACGAATGCCATTCGGGTTGGCGGGTGCACCGTTCACGTTCAGAAGATTGATGACGCTGCTGCTTAAGAATCTAGATAATGTTGAGGTTTATGGCGACGGTGTAGTTGTATACAGCCTGACGGAAACAGATCACGTCAAGCATGTGGAAGCGGTCTTAAAGCGAACTGAAGAATTTGGGCTTCGAATTAATAAGGAAAAGTCGCAGATAGCGAAAAACAGCGTCATATTGTTGGGACATAAAGTGGGAAATGGAGAAATAAAGCCATTACCAGAGAAAATTCTTACCATAAAAAATATTGCAGTACCTAATTCGAAAAGGAAGTTGAGACAGTTCCTGGGAAGAGCGGCGTTCTATAGTCGGTCTGTCAAGAATTTCAACGAAATAGCAGCGCCCTTATATAAGTTGCTGAGCAACACCAAGTTTACATGGACTGAGGCTGTCGAACAAACGTTCAACCGAATCAAAAACATGCTAGACGATCGTCAGATGACGCTGCGACTGCCTGAACCCGGGAAACTGTTTACAGTGGCCACAGATGCAAGTGATCATGGTATACGTGCGGTATTGAGTCAGGTTGATAGAGTGGCGGAATACGCAAGTCGCGTTTTCACACCCACCGAGCAGAAGTATTCAACGATCGAAAAGGAGTGCCTAGCAATCGTGTGGGCAGTAGAAAAATGGAGACCGTACCTTTTAGGTAGACGATTTTACATTGAGACTGACCATAAACCCCTGCAGTGGTGGAGAACAGTAAGAGACCCCCGAGGGAAGTTGGCGCGGTGGATGATACGTCTGCAAGAATAAGACTTCTGTGTCGGCCATGTTCCAAGGAAAGGAAAACGTAATGGCGGATTACTTGTCAAGATCAGACATGGAAGCTGACCTTCCAGTGACAGCATACGCGGTGAGTAGTTTAGATGGAGACCCATTAGAACTCATCCGGCAACAGAAAGCTGACCCGAACCTTCGAGAGGTAATCAAAGTGATAAAAGCAGGAGAAGACGTAGACAAACGAACGACGGACAAGGAGGTAATAATGTTACTTCGGCAAAAGGAACGACTGAAAGTGAACGCATATGGAGTCCCGACCTGGCAGGACGATGACAAGAATTGGGTGGCTGTAATCCCGAAAGACTGGAGGCGTAAGATGATACACGAGTGTCACCAGGTAGCACATACACGCATCGCAAGAACGACGGACTTATTACGACAAAGTGCATACTGGCCGGGCATGAGAGACGATGTGGCTCAATACATGTTAACCTGCCAGCAGTGTCAACTAATGAAAAGCGATAGATACACACAACCGCCATTACAGTCGATCCCAGTAACCGCAGTCGGTGATCTATGGTCGGTGGATATAATGTGACCGTTTCCACAAACGGCGACCGGTAACCGGTACCTGCTAGTGATGGCGGAGCATGCTACACGTTGGATAGATGCCGTACCCACTGTAGACCAGCGGGCAAGAACAGTGACCGAAGTGGTGATCCGGCATATTGTAGCGTGCCACGGAATACCGAAAATGATATTAACTGACCAGGGTCCCTGTTTTGAAAGTGACGAGTTTAAAGACCGTATAAAACAGTTTGGCATCAAGAGGATACGAACTACACCGTATCATCCTCAGACAAACGGGCTTACAGAGAGAAACAACCGGACGTTAAAGGAATGGTTAGCATCTAAAGGAGGAGATTGGGAGAAAGTTACCATTGATTTTGCTGGCGCATCGTTCCTCCATACAAGGAACAACCAAGAAATCACCCTTCTCGCTCATGTATGGCAGACAACCGCGACTTCAACTGCACAATAAGACCTGGCCACAACAACAGAAATGGACTACAACAAGGTTAAGAAAAGAGAGGAGGGAGGCAATCAGGAACGTGGGAAAGAAGCAAATATCAGACATAAAGAAGGCGGAACAACAGAGGAGAACGTGGAAACCTTTTGCAGTGGGTGACCTGGTAAAGTGTAGAGAACAAAAAAGTAGCATAGCGGGGGGATCAGGGTGGGGAAAGCTGATCCCAAAGTGGAACGGACCGTACGTTATCACGGAGAGACGCGGTGCAGTGTACACGATCCGGAAAGAAGACAAGCAGAAGCGTGTAAATGCCATTCAACTGCAGAGGTGGTTTCAAGATTATCAAGTGTGTGAGTCACGGAAAGCACCAAAGAAGACAGCGGTACGGCGATCAGAAAGACTACGAGGACAGCTTATTAAAAGGGGGGACGAGTGTGGTGCGCGCTACTAATAAGTAGTATATTACGCGTGTGTAAACGTAATGTCTGACAGCTGAAGATGGGGGAAGATCAAGAAAGGAAGAGTGGGAAAACAATGGAATTTGTATGAAACGCATGAATAGTGAATTGTTAAACAATGGATTGAAGATTTGCAAATTAACGGTCACGGTATGGTTTTCCTATTTTACTGAGTAACTCTGTAATTTTGGTTAAATACAATTCGGTTGCCCTCACCTGTGTTCTTATTCACTACAAAGGTTCTACCATGCCAGGCAGGTCGATTGGAGAACGATCAGACTGAAAGCGGCTACTCAAGGCGTCTGGACGAAGTCGTACTGCTGACTGCAGAGGGGTGTGACAGCAGTAAGGCGTTTCCCTAGGACAATCAGCATCTGCAACAATGCTGCCTTCTTTCAGGAAAGGAAGGGATTAGAAAAGGACGACCCTAAAAATGTCACACCTCACCCTACCTAACGGATTGCCGTCTCCGGGTGCTCACTAAGGGCTTTCAAGAGCGGAGCTAATACTCAAAACGCCCTTCACAAAAAGGCCATGCGTGACGGGCCTCAAGCAGTTGTCCCTTGGGCTCTGCGGTCACGCTCTCAGGTCTCCAAGACCAACACTAATCAACCTTCTTTTTCAGGTTCCTCAAGAAACAATCTTCCATGGTGTGTTCAGCCGGGAAGTGACAACCGCCCTCATACCTGTAACAGCAGGAGAGACCGAATCGGTCACAAATAAATCCTTTCTACACTCCCACAAGTGATGCAGGTTGGTAAAAGCTAACCAAGCCTTCTCTACTCGTGCTGAGATTTCGTCAGTCACCAGACCATCAGCAATGAGAGACTACCGAGATAAGTGAAGCGATCTACACGCTCGACTACTTCACTCCCTATCACTAGTTCAGGTGCTGATGCAACCCAATCTTGAAGCAACATTTTTCATTTCCAAGGGGGAACCCGCATCCCGAATATGCTTGCATTGTTGCTTACGGTAGGCAGAAGACTGCATTTTGTCAACGTCTTCACCAAATAGGACTATGTCATCAGCATACTCTAAGTCAGAAAGCGTGTCTCCTGGTGAAAGGTTCACTCCTGAAAGGTCAGATGATAATGTTAACTCTAAAAGCATATCCACGAAAAAGTTAAACAAGAATGGAGAGTGGACGTAAAGAATTCCGATGACAGTTCACCATAAGCTCTATTTCGACCAGTACTGTTTGAGTAGAGAGCTTGTATAAGGTCAGTGTACTTCTCTCATACACCTTTCAATGACAGACGCTGCCACAGACCTCATGTTTTACAGAGTCGAATGCCGCTTTACGGTCAAGAAACGCCACTACTGTGGGACGTCTGGACGTGTGTCTATGTTCTAGGACCAGACGAAGTGTGAATATCTGGTCTATACATCCACGTCCAAGTCGAAAACCAGTCTGGTTTTCTGGAGTCTGCTTTTCATGAGCGCTAGTTAGGCGTCACAGTATTATTGAGGCCAATATTTTATATACTATATTAGTTAAACATTAAGCAGAACCGCGAAGAGGTTTCTACTTAATGATAGCATGAAGGAATGAACTGTTAGCGAATCCCCCAGTACTACAACCTTGACAAGAAAATGATTCTAGAGGAGAGTATACCGGAAGTTAGGGACACTGACGACAGGGCTTTTATCAAATAACTAGGTGTAATTTCTAAGCTCAGAATATGTGTGCTCGCTTGTTAGCTACACACATGCGAGTTTCCAAGACCCCAGTAGACAAAAAGTAGTCGAATGCTGTGAATGAGTTGAAATTTGAAATAACTGAAGTCCTGTATTCTTTTATTTAACACAGTGGTACAACTGTACATATAAACAAATGTCCCACACATATTCGGAAATAAAGATTTGAATGGAGATAATGGTTTTGAAATAAAAGAGCAAGAGCAGTACATAATAGAAATTATTTGGCTACCAACTAACTAGAAGAAATATTTTAGTCGGAATTCTACCTTTTGCTTATCATAAAACCACTGCGGGGTCAATATTAGCTCGAAATATGTTGATAGAAACGGTTTTACTAAAATTATAAAACTAACTTGAGTTTCACCAAGTTCTTTATACCATAGATCAATCGATTGTTTCGTTTTCAATTCCAATTGAATATTTCCTAAGAGCGTAGACTACAAACCCAACTAACTACCAATAATAACAACCAATTGCTCCCCGAGACCCGAACATTGAAGCATATTGTAATCAACATCAATCATGTAAACAGCGTGTCAGTTACATGACAATAATGCCGAACAGAACTATATATGCAGATTATTCGGATACCAGCATTGCAACATATACTAAGAGGGTTTGCAAGTCTTGTTTGCTAGCATTACTGTGAAAAAACACTAGTTGGACTGCCTTGAAGTAAACGGCTAAGGACCCGGACGTAACTACAACTACCTTGAAGATAAGTCGATCTCATTGATCGTAACAAACGGTAACAGACATATTGGCAAGAGTAGTTTTTCAGGTTCCATCACAGATAACAGAAGATCGGTAGTAAATTGGAGAACGAGTTTGTATTACTAACCGTGCTGGCTGGTAGTGTCAGTAAAGTGCTCACCATGATTAACTAGCGCTTTTTAGCGACAATCCTTTAACAGAAGTCGAAGCAAAAGTTGCAGAAATCCTTCCAAGGTAACAAAACTGGCGTTATGTGCAGGTAAATGAGAGGAAAACAACCCGAAGGATTTAGCATAACGTGACTGATGCACTGAATATCAATTATTCTGGCATGATGGTTTGTGCATACCGTATCAACAGTATACTATATCAACGTTGAAAACTTTCCCCCTAGAATTTTCGGCACTTACATACAAAAATCAGTCTACTCATGATAATGCCACATACTTTCTGGACATAATTAACTGATCTGCTTAACCGCGATGAAATCTGACTACTCAGTGACTGTTTCGGGAGCTAAAATTAAATATTGACTATTGTAGCATTCCTCATCAACAAGGATGAGTTCAGTCTAGCTACCACATATCTGAGTAAATCACAGAGAGGTAATAAACAAAACTCACTTTTATATTCCAGAAAGAAGAACCGAATATTGCAGTTATCACACCAAATAGAATTCCAATCAAAAGTCCTTCTGTCACTCCAACCCTGCAAAATAATGTACGATTCCACCTACTTACCGGTCAAATGCAAGGACTCCCGTGACGTAACATCGCCAATGGGCTACATAAAAAAAGGCTTGCAAACAGAAGTATTGTATAAACATCATTATAGGCCATTCATCGAAACCAATGATGATGAAGTAAGAAATGGGAAGGATGCCTAAACGTTCAGATCACATAAAAGTAATTACATATAGATAAAGCATCACACCCATGGTCAAACAGTTCACCGAGTTGAGAGCACGATCCTGTACGACGAGCTTGCAAACCATCTAAAGCATCTAGAGTTTGATACACGAATACTGACACTACAAACACCATTGAGGTAAAGAAACAAGCCTTAAAAAATGTGCTTAGTACATTTACATACCCCATAGGATAAAAGCAAACATAAAGCAAACACATTAGCGAGTAAACCAATTAGAGTTAGGGTGTTAGGAGCAATATATGTCGGTATATACAACGAAGACACCTGCCAAAAGTTCTTGAGTAGATTGTCACATATGCTTTCTCCTTCACAGTGATACTTATGTTCAAGTAAACGACTCAACTGTTCTTTAGAGAGTGACTTGCCAGCCAACCATGGCCCCATCCCCAAATCTTAACAACAACTTTGTATAATGCGCAATTGCATGTCAATTGCCAACTCTTCACAAGTTCAGTTTTCTTCGACTTTTCTGTACAGAAAATAAAAATTTACTTTATATACAATGTTTTGCGGTCTCTTGAATCGTCTTAAATAAATATATTAAGGAATTATATATATTAGTACGACTACGAGTTTCTTTTGAGTTGAGTTTAAAACTCTTATTTAGCCAGTGAAGGAAAGACAGCAGGGATAGATTTGGTCTGTTAGCCCAATTACTTTCAGTTTATCTGTAAAAAAGCGGTTAAAAGCTTTCCGAAAGAAACGGCTTTCTAGGTATTCAAGACTGATTGAAACCATGTTAGTTTTAATGGTTAAGGGAAAACACCAAACCAACAATATCTGTCATACCTCGGTACGGCAAAGCACGAAGCCCCTTTACCCTTCCTGGTCTTTTGTCGCCCCGGGAAACATTATTCAGTTTTTCCCTCTTCTTCGTTTGGCTTAAATAATTTTTCAGATAATTGATGGCTTCAGCTTCGGAAAACTTCAGAAGATCGGGACTCGACTGTCTAACAGTCACCTTAAAGAGTTTCAGTAAGTCAGCTCGATGTCCTGTAACAAGATGTCCCACGATCGCACTGCCAAATGCTTTTACTTCACCTGGACTTACTTTTTTAGAACATGTTCTTTGAATCGTACGTAGGCTCTTCGTATTTTACCAATGTAATTTCTCCATCACATGCATGCGGGCTTGTATACACAGTTAGCGGTACCTATCGATCTTTGGTTGTGTTAATTAATATGTGACTTTGCACAAAACAAGCAATTTAGTTGCAAGATACGTTCTTGTCAGTGAAGTTTCTGGTCTTGCGTCGATTCTCCTTGTAAGGTCCTTAACTTTAAATGAGTTGAATAAAAATCTGATTTAGCTTGTTGTAATTGCTTTGGGTTTTCTGTCTTCACGCTTTCCATACTTCTGGATAAATTTCCGTGCATATCCGTTGTTCTTTAGACAATTTTTTACATTCATTCTTTCCTCTTATAGTGTGAAACCATTGCACAATCTTTTTATTCCCTGCTATAGAGCATTAATTAATGATTTTTTGTGACTTAATAGACATAAACTTCTAAAAATCAGATTAATTCCACTCCGTCCTTTCTCCATCTCATTACGACAATAATAAAATAAAACTTCTTTTCATTTTCATGTTCTGTGGTAAACTGGATCATTATATCAGCATCGTTAAGAAGTTCCAGTTGATTTAAGGTGTCGTCGACGTACCTTGAATAAGGCATCATTTCATGGATCTGTAGTGGTGCGCTGCTACAAAGAAAAAACGATTTGTGAAAAATAAACATTATTGTACTCGTTTTGTTTAACTGTACAAAAAACACTTCTTTCACTTCTTGCGCGCAACGTTCTCTTCGCGTTACTGTCGTTTTTCTCTACTTGTTGTTCCAGATGTAATGCCTACTGTCTCCTTCAATAAAACCTTAGACCATCGACTTATTTTGCTTTCAATAATGGTGGGATGTTATGGAACATTTAGTGGTGAGCATAATCAATCTGGTATCTGGATTCGCTCACAACAATTGGTGAGATCGACGTGATTCCAAAAGAAGTCTATTACGGTGAGTCTATTATTCATCGATCACCATTTTTATAATGTTGCAATACTATTAATAATGTCTTTAATATATATTATTATAGCAACAACCTTTCGAAATGGTAGATAGCATTTTCACCTGTCTCCTCCCCGTCACTTCGGGTTGTTAGTTTATTTTACGCGCTGGGTTTTCTCACTAACGCTAGGTACTTGGCGGCCATAAGTACCCAAGTTTCTCTCGTATCGTTTGGTAGCAGTAAGTCATAAGCTACGATGCTTCGCCCACGCACTGTGAATGGCTGTCATTCCTACCTACGGTACATGACAGCTAACTATCAACCTGAATTATCGACGACAGTATCTATGGACGTTCATCCCTTCTGATGTTCCCATAGCAGTACTAGGTATCGATTCCTTACAGCACTATGAATTGCTACTCGATATATATATATATATATATATATATATATATATAGATGTTTTGCTTTACTATTTATTTCATGTTAATTTGATAAATTCCCCAAAGTAACGAAACCAAGGAGATTCAACTGGTGATCAATTATGTGGTAAGCCACATCGTCACCTACAGACCCCTAGTCACGGCAAAACCTCGCTGACTGGCACTGGACAACTTATTTTTCGCTAAGCGTGAGTTTGACAGTTTGCTTGCTATATGTATTACTTCGTCTTTCTCACAGTCCTTGAGCCTCCTCTCTCCACTCGGTTCGCAGAAAGATGGCATTTGTAGGAGACAACATGGCGATTACGGTGCAGCATCGGCAGATATCCAATGTTCCGCCTCCGAACTTGTATACGGCACAACATTGCAACTGCCTGAGGAATTTTTTCACACCACGGAGCAACGATTTTAGGTACATCATATAACGTCCAACGACTATCTGCGTAGATGCGAATACTGCCTCCGGTGTGAACTCGAATATAACATCGACAGGTCGCTCTCCCTCGAGATTTATTTACCTGTCCGCAAGTTTTCTTACTAGTAGATTCGGTGCTCAAGAACCTTATGAAGGATCTTTTCACGTGATCTCTCGTCATGAAAAGACCTTCAAAGTTGATGGACACAGTCAATATTGATCGACTCATACCAGCACACGTCAATGACAGTGCCCTACTTGGTATATCGAGATTTAATGCTGGACTCGTCCAACTCACTAGCAGGATCCTTATTTTTCCTTCTTATCCCACGCTAGATAAACCAAAGACCTCATTCCCACGTCCCAGATAGCAGCACGCGTCATCTTCACTATCTACGGATGAGACTCCGGTCTCACGTCCACATCAGCAGACCACGCCGAACTTGACTGCGGATGAGAATGCAGGCCCACAAGGTAAGCACAAGGCTACTGTCTCGCGTTCAGGTCTCCGCGTACGCCTACCTGTACGCTTTCTCGACTAACTACCAATCAACCACGGTTGCGGCATAGGATTTTACCCTCATACTATATGCATGCTACACTTTTCTCCTTTTTCTTTGATTTTTTTATCCTGAGACCATGCTTCCGACCATTGCCCTATTGGTACCGTCGACCTCAGTCAACCTTGGCGAAAGCTGGCCTGATCACCCACACTCTTGTCAATGCTCTCAGTCGATTTTCTGGTTACGAATATATCTGTTATACGAATGGTTTCGTACTGGTCCTGATGGCTACGAAGATGTCCACCATGTTGTCATCAGATATTAAAGTTTACATATATCAAGAAACCTTGTTAGCTGTTTCTCTGGCTTCCATGCTGATGGCAGTAAGTATGTTACAAGTGATGGCCGGATCGGTGAATTTATTACCGCTGAAAACACCCTCATTGCCTTAATCAAATCTACAGATGTTCATGGAACTACTGTTTGCGATCTGTTTTTTGACCTACCCCCACATAACATCTCTTAATTTCTTATCTTTTCACCCGTCGTCCGATCTATCTTCAACAAAGTCAGTTATCTTTAAAGCCTTTAAATCTACGTATTGTACTTTTAACCTAAACGTGGTACGAATCATCCGTACCTGATCACTCCTAAATTTTAGGTCACTAAATTTTCGTTTGGCTCCATAGATACCATGGAATCAGAACCAGTACATTTAACTATGCCAGTTCGAGCATTCAACCACGAAAATTCAATAAAGAATGTCTTGATGCGAAAGATGACCCTACATTGGTTACGGTGGATTGCGGTTCGCAACAACATCTGCCAGCGATATACATATAGTAACCATCCAATGAAGATTCGCAGTTTGTTAAATTACTAGCAGACATTTTCTCTTGTTTCCCACCAATCGCAAACGCGTAAAATGATTAGTAATAATAAAATTTATTCTCAAATAACAGTGTATTGCAGGAGGAGATATTCTTCTGAAATTTTTTTTATTAAACTCGGCTTAATTGCCATGATAGTTTAATAGCTTGTTTTAAATAAACGAATCACATGGATGGGTACTTGTCTTAAAGTTAACAATCAAATTTGACCCAATGGCAATTCATGTCAGAAATGAATTTCCCATAAGTGATCATAGAGTTGCATCAAGTATATTTTCGTCTCTTAATGCCGTATTAAAGGGCTTTGAAGCTGCAATAGTATTCAAAGGCAGGCAGTTTAATCTGAAAACACAGAAGCACAAAGAAGCTCTGATTCGATGTTTGCTATGTAATCATATGTAATCACACTGCACTCTTTCATTTGTACCACAGTTTGCATTGCCTCGACCGTTTAGCAACTAATGCCGACCATCTCATTTTTAAGGCCAGTGGAGGCCAAAATCCTTTCAGGCGAAAGCTGAGAAAACTTAAGCGCTGCTAATGCGAGCATCAGTTGTTTGCACTCCGAAACGTACTTCAGTTGATTGAGAGGTCATAAAGAGCCGTAAGCAGACAAAATGATTTGCTTACGGATGCGGGTAGGTTGGGGTTAAAATCCCACCATAATAATTTCTGGTCAGGTACTCCATTCTACCTCCTTTTACGATGTTAGGCTCTCTTACATTTTCGGTATGTTCTGAAGGAGCTTTAGTCAAAGCTCTATTTTTTTCACTCCTTGTAGGAACAGACTGTTTGTACAAGTTCATTGCTACCAGTAAACCAGATAGCTTTAGTTTATGCATAGTGGATTTCATATCCATGAAGCATATAATACGGATTATAAGTTAAGTAATCGTATAAATTGTGAAACGTATTTCAGTTAGAAAGTCTTTTGGAGATGAGGAATTCTAATAGTAAGGATTACCACCAATGATCTTAAAAGCCTTGTTTGGAACCTCTTTTGACTAGATGTGATAATTTAAGCATTGTCTTTCTTTACTATCTTATAAGTGATATTTCCTACTCTTAATCATCTAGCCCTAAATCTACCATGTATTTTCATAACCTGTGACAAGAGGAAAATATTCTATCAATTCCGAAAAGTTGCACAAACTGACGTTCGAATTTATTCTTCATACTCG